AAAAAAAAAAAATAAAATAAAATAAAATGAAGTTCAGCCATAATAGTAAGCCTGAATTTTACTCTCTGAATTGCTACTGTTGATTACTGTTAGTTATGCCCCAGATCCCCTATATCAGGTGGCAAAGATCCCCAATTTACACAAGAAACTCAGACTATTTGGAAAAATAAATATTGTCACTTTGAAGCTGGAATGAAAACTCAACCTTGAAATCTCAATTCATTTAACTATATTTTAAAATTTTACCCTTATAAATTATAAATCCCTTCCAGAAACTCTAAGGAAGACGTCTTAATGCATTGACTTGCATTTTAAAGAACCTGAATATTATTTCCCAAAAGGAATTCTAAAATTGAGACACACTGAAATATTAAAATATCAATACCCAATTTAATCCTCATTCATTATGTTTTTATTTCACGCTTTCTCCACACTTGCCTTCTGGACTTATCTTGGGGAGAAGAATGGATTCTTGTGTTAGTTGATCCCACCACAGAGCCCAATTTAACACAATTCTGTGTTCCTGTTTGTTAAATTCATCTTTACAATCATACTTCAGGAATGAGTCCAAAACAGACTTGTGTGTGAAAAAATCTTGTTCGTTTATCCAATACCTAAAAACAGTGATATAAATGTTTTGTTTTTTTTTTAATTCTGGAGAAAAAGGCATCATTCCTTTTTATCTGCTCAAGAGTATCTAACTCTTGAGGAACACATAATACTGATTATGCAAATATTACAAAGACAGAAAACTCTTGAGTCCCTTCTGTCTGATATAAATTTTATATTCATGGAGAATGCAGGCTCAGTTCCACATAAGAAGCTTGTGCTAACAATTACAAACTAAATACTATCTACAGTATTTTAATATTATCAAAAGAGAACTAATGAAACTACCTGGGAAATGACTGGATTGGCACATGTTCTTGGAAATGTCCCAAATAAAGTTTCTCAACTTGATGCACGAAGTCTATAGTTCTTTTTTCTTTTTCAGAAAAATACTTTTTTTCTTTTAAAATTTCAACCTTGAATAAAAAGTAATTAAATTAAAGCAGTGACTTTACAAAAATCAAATACAATTGTAAATAATGTCTTAAGATTATCAAAGAAGGTATTACTGGGAATTAAAGATTTATATTTTGAACGTTTGAGTTAATGTATGTTAACACAAATTTTCTTTTACCACAAATCTAAAATAGTCACTTAAAAAACATGAAGGGGTTGTCACACTTTTACTTATTAGATATTAGTTGAACATTAAAATTACTTAAAGTTGTTCAAGGTTTTCTTCCAAGTTTTTCACCAAGGCTTTCTAGAAAATGAGTATACATCTTTACCTACCAAAAAGTTCCGTATATTTTTATCAGGTGTATAGAAGCATATCTTGAGCAATTGGTCTTTTACATTGAACCCCTAAAATAAGCATAGAAAACCAAAAATAGTTACATTTTGTAAGGGAACTATTTTGAAAATAAATATATGATACAGAAACACTCTATGACAGACATCTATCTTGTTAGAATTCCATAGCTATCTCCTCTTTCAAATATTCATTTTCCCAGTTTTATTTTTTAATTTTAATTTTTTTTTTTTTTTGAGACAGTCTTGCTCTGTTGCCCAGGATGGAGTACAGTGGTGTGGTCACAGTTCGCTGCAGCCTTGATCCTCAGGCTCAAGTGAGCCTATCACCTCAACCACCCAAGTGGCTGGGGCTGCAGGTGTGCACCACCATGCCTGGCTAATTTTTTAATTTTTTTTAGAGATGGGATTTCTTCATGTTGCCCAGGCTGGTCTTGAGCTTCTGGGCTCAAGCGATCCTCCTGCCTCAGCTTCCCAAGGTGCTAGGATTACAGGCATGAGCCACCCCGCCTGGCTCTCCTACATGTATTATATGTATTTACTGCCTATCCCTAAAGTCCTTAAGTGTTTTGTCAGAGCAAAGGCAGCACACAGAACAATTTAAGGCAATGCTAGGCTACCACAGGACCAAAATGATGGCAATCTGGTATGCCGATTCAAGTGGTAACAAAGATCAATGTAAACATCCACATATTTCCACTACTCTGCACCTCCTGAAACTTGCCATGGGCAAGACTCGAACCATGCAGATTAGAGCTAGATTTCAGCTTAGTCTAGGAGCCCTACTTCTAGGACTTACCCTTCTCATATGAAGTAAAACCACAGAGCATAAAGCCCCAGCAAAGGTCTAATTTACTAGAAAGTTCGAGTGGAGACGTAAGGGGTCATATGAACAATACAGAATGTCTTCCAATAAATAATGAGCTCTTGTGCATGCTTGGACATGTGTGAAGTCTTCTTTGAGAAACACTATCTCCTCCTAATCAAAGTGCCAGTTCTAATAGAGTACTTTTTCTCTTTCTGTTTTTTTTTTTTTTTTTTTTTTTTTTTTTTTGGTTTATTTTGAGTCAGGGTCTCATTCTGTCACCAGGCTGGATGGAATGCAGTGGCGTGATCTCAGATCACTGCAACTTCTGCCTCCCGGGTTCAAACGATTCTTGTGCCTCAGTCTCCCAAATAGCTGGGATTACAGGCACATATCACCCACCTGGCTAATTTTTGGCATTTTTACTAGAGACAAGGTTTACCATGTTGGCCATGCTGGTCTCAAACTTCTGCTTCAAGTGATCTGCCTGTCTCAGCCTCCCACAGTGCTGGGATTACAGGTGTGAGCCACTGCACCCAGCCCAGATAGTACTTTTAAACACCATTTAAAAATCTCTTCAAGAGATATGGAAACAACCTAAGTGTCTAACAACAGATGAATGGATAAACTAAATGTGGTGTATATGCACAAAAGAATATTTGGCCTTAAAAAATACAAGGAAAGGCTGAGTGTGTTGGCTCATGCCTGTAATCTCTGCAGTTTGGCAGGCCAAGGCAGGAGGATTGCTTGAACCCAAGAGTTGGAGACCAGCCTGGGCATTATACTGAGACCATGTCTCTACCAAAAGAAAATTTTAATTAGCTGGGCATGTTGTGATGTGCCTATGTGCCTGTAGTCTCAACTACTCAAGAGACTGAGGTGGGGGGATCACTTGAGCCCAAAAAAAAAAAAAAAAAAAAAAAAAAAAAAAAAAAAAAAAAAAAAAAAAAAAAAAAAAAAAAAAAAAAAAAAAAAAAAAAAAAAGGAAAAAAGGTGAAGAAGAAAACCTGCCTTTTTAAACAACATGGAGGAAATTATACTAAGCCAGACATAGAAAGACAAATTCTTCATGCTCTCACTTCTTTATGGAATCTAAGAAAAAGCTGAACTCACAGTAATAGAGAGTAGAATGATATTACCAGGGACTGTGGGATAGGGGAAAAAAAGGAGATATTGGTCAAAAGGTACAAACTTTCAGATTTAAATAACTTCTGGAGACCTACGTACAGCATAGTGACAAAAGTTAATAATAATACATTGTATACTTGGAATTTGTAGAGAATAGATTTCAGGTGTTCTCACCACATATACACACATAACTATGTGAGGTGATAGACATATTAGCTTAGTTGTGGTAATTTTTCACCACGTAAATACATATCAAAACAATATATTATACACCATAAATATATGTAATTTTCATCACTCATACCTAAATAAAGTTAGGGGGAAAATATCTTCAAGAAAGTTCTCAGGCTGGGCATGGTAGCTCATGCCTGTAATCTCAGCACTTTGGGAGGCCGAGGCTGGAAGATCACCTGAGGTTAGGAGTTCAAGACCAGCCTGACCAACATGGAGAAACTGCATCTCTACTTAAAATACACAAAATTAGCTGGGCATGGTGGTGCACACCTATAATCCCAGCTACTTGGGAGGCTGAGGTAGGAGAATGGCTTAAACCTGGGAGGGGGAGGCTGTGGTGAGCCGACATTGTGCCATGGCACTCCAGCCTGGGCAACAAGAGTGAAATTCCATCTCAAAAAAAAAAGAAAAGAAACAACGTTCTCAGTACCAAAACATTTCTCAGTGTTATTTCTTTTTTAGAGTTAGAGACAAGGTCTTGCTCTGTTACCAGCTGCTTACAGGTGCAATCGTAGTTCACTGCAGCCTAGAACTCCTGGGCCCAAGAGATTCTCCTGCCTCAGACTTCTGAGTAACTAGGACTACAGGGGTGATATGGTTTGGATTTGTGTCCCTGCCCAAATCTCATGTTGAATTGTAACCCCCAATTTTGGAGGAGGGGCCTGCTAGGAGGTGACTGGATCAAAGGGGCAGATTTCTCTCTTGCTGTTTTTGTGATAGTGAGCGAGTTCCCATGATATCTGATTGTTTAAAAGTATATAGCACCTCCCCACTGCTCTCTCTCCCTCCTTCTCTTGCCATGTAAGACATGCCTGCTTCCTCTTCCCCTTCTGCCATGACTGTAAGTTTCTTGAGGCCTCCCTAGCCCTGCTTCCTGCAGAACTATGAGCCAATTAAACCTCTTTTCTTTCTAAATTACCCATTCTCAGGTAGTTCATTATTATTTATTGATTTTTTGAGCTCTGTTGCCCAGGCTGGAGTGCAGTGGCACCATTTGGCTCACTGCAACCTCTGCTTCCCGGGTTCAAGCAATTCTCTCTGCCTCAGACTCCCAAGTAGCTGAGATTATAGGTGCCCACTACCATGCCAGCTAATTTTTGTAAGTTTAGTACAGATGGATTTTGCCATGTTGGTCAGGCTGGTCTTGGACATCCTGACCTCAGGTGATCCACCCATCTCAGTCTTCCAAAGTTCTGGGATTACAGGCAGGAGCAACCACACCTGGCTCAGGTAGTTCTTCATAGCAATATGAGCATAGACTAATATAAAGTGCAAGTTACCATGTCCTTTTTATTTTTTGTAGAGACAGGGTCTGGCTATGTTACCCATGCTGGTCTTGAACTCCTGGCCTCAAGTGATCTTCCTGCCTCAACCTCTCAAGCACTGAGATTACAGACATAAGCCACTACTCCCAGCTCTTCTCAGTGTTATTAATATCATTATTTCCTAGTAAAGACTACATAAATTTCTTAGTTTTTGAAATAATTATAAATCAATTTTATAGTAACTAGAAATTATATTAAATACATTTTAAGGCTTTATGGATTATACTACTCACCATATTCTTCAAAAGTTCAGAGGCTTCCTTTATATTGTTTTTTTTTAAATTTTCAAAGACCAAATTTAGGCCTATTCCAATCAGCTCCTCAAGTTTTTGAGCAGAATGACTATTCATCCTGAAGAAAGTTTGTGCCTCTGGTATTTTGTTGTTTAAAATGGCATTGGCAATAACTTCCTAGGAAAAGAAAAACGTTCGCCTTTTAAGTTCCTTTTCATTTCCTTATTACAATTATCAACATGAGATTTATACATTTATTGAGCATCTAAGAAACTTATATTTAAAATCTATTACTAGATTTGGGGTTAGGTTCAAGGGATATAAAATTGAGTAAAACAAAGGTCCTATACTCCAGGAGCTATTGGAAGACACGTTGATTATAGTACTGTATAAGGGCTGTGATAAAAGTCTCCCAGGGTGCTAGAGAGGAAGGTCGGGAAGAGGAACACCTAAATAAGAAGGATGACCACCACCCTGCGCCACCCCCACCATCTGGACACAGGCTTCCTAGGAGAAGTAACTGGTAACTGATGAGACAAAAAAATTTAAAGACCAGTAACTGTTCCATAGATATACTGAGATAAGAGGGCAGGTGTTCCAAAAAGAGGGAATATCGTATGCAGAGGAACAAAGCAAAGAAACTGCATCAAGCCTTCAGGGAACTACAAATTACTCAATAAAACTGGAGAAAAAACTGAAGAGTAGCAGATGAGACTTGAAAGCAAAGCAGAGGTTCCATCATGACGAACCTTGCGTATGAGGTAGATGTTATCCCAAAGCTGTGGAGCCACTGAAAGACCTTAAAAGCAAGATGTGATGTAATCAGATACATATTTACGGAAAAATATCCAGGCAGCAATATAGAGAGTGGACTGAAAGTGATTCAAGCTCAAGATACTGAGGCATTAGAAGGCTACTACCAATAATCCATGTGAAAAGAAATACTTAAAGTGAAGATCTAAACCCTAGAGAGAACAGAAAGGAGGCATACTCAACCTGACACTTTAAAGGCATCTGTAAACCCCATTAAGCCATATATAAAATTTTGTCTATATGGACACATTCACATGCCTGCTTTTGCAGACAGGGTCTACAATTTTTATCAAAGTAAACTATAACCCCTTGCCCTGGCAAAAGTTGAAAATCAGTGATTTTGAGTACAAAGAAGACCACAGAGCCTTACAGAACATTAGAGGAGGGAAACAGAGAAACCTGTAAAGGAGACAGGAAAAAGGAGACAAAAAAGTAGAAGGAAAAGTATGGAATTTCTGACTTTTTAAAGTTAGGCAATGAATAAGAGATACAGAAAATGCAGTCACAGTAGGTACTTCCAAATCTCTCCACCCCAAGAACAGCAATCTTAACAACCTGGCAGCATCTCAATCCTATCACTTTCATTCCTTATTGATTATGATCATCTGTGTTAAGCTGTTTTAGCTTTTGTTTGTCCAATACCAATACACTGCAGTGGGTGAAGGAATTCTTCCAGTCCCTAAGTCACACAGATAGTAGTAAATTTTAGCTCTATTATTGTAACTTCTACTGTGAGGGGAAAAAAAGGCAAACAGATGGATGAAAATTTAACTGGGCAAAATGTCTTAAATTACAATTTCAGATAGGATTAAAATTAAATATTCTTCTAAGTAATAATGTCATAAAATAAAAATTTCCAAAGATCTAATCAGCAGCAGCAATTCAATTTATCTAGATGTCAGGCAGAATGCATGAGTTCAAAGTACCAGGCTTGAGCCAATGAGACAGTATTGCTAAGAGTATTCAAAATACCAGGCTTGATGAGGGCGTATTGCCACTTCACTAAACTAATGGGTTTAGAGTTGGGTGTTTGTTACTGAACCCAAGTGAGCAGACCTGGCATTAAGCGGGAGCCTACCTATGTCGTGAATTAAATAAATGCAGCTTGTAGACATAAATTTGAAGTCATAATCAGAGATTCCAAAACTGATAAAACCTAAAACCTTTGCCAAACATTCTGAATCATAAGTGTGTAGAATCTGAATTCTGTTTTTTCTATTGTTTTCTCAGATTTTCTGAATCTGGCAAATAAAAGAAGTAATAATTACTCATGCTTACCTCAAAGCTGAGTTTCTCCCATATACTGCTTTCCTTTACTTTGGGGACATTTTCATGTACATCATATTCATCTATAGCATCTGTTAGCTTCCAAGGAAACTTTATCATGAAGGTTCGAAGTTCATTAATGTAGCCAGTCAAAATGTTCTCTCCTCTTTGCAGATGTTCATCTAGATCTGTGGAAAATATCAATGTGCCAATTTGTGCATATGTGTGTGCATGTGTGCATAAACCATGAGCTGTTATATAAAAGAATTCTAGAGAAAGTCTAAATTCAAACTTGGTATTTTAAAATTTCAAACAGTATGTTTGAGGTTTTTCCTATTTACAAGCAAGTAGCTCTGTATTTTAATATAACCCTTTCCTTTTCTTGTTCTTCGTGATTAGTCCTGGGTCTTTCTACCAACTTTCTCAACATCAAAACCCATTTCACTTCCTGAATTACAAACTGACCTTACTCAAACATAATAAATAATGTGCCACTAATTTATGCCATCTCACACAATAGCAGCACTTGTATCTGTTCTGACGCAGGAACAGCAGAATTGCCCCGTTCCTAGCTGCTATTCTTACCTTCAGTATGAATAAAAAGCTCCTTTATTTGCTTGTTAAGGAAAGACAGTGTAAGATTAAGCAATTGTTCTGAAAAGTGTTTGCTTTGGGGTTCAGAATAGCTTCCCCGAATTGCTGAGCAAAGTAAATCCAATGCTGGTATCAACTCTTCCACATCTGAGAAAGAACCAAAGAAATTAACACGATCAACAGGATCTTCCCAATAAAATTAACATATCAAAAATGTCATGTTACAATCTTTTAAAACATAAAACAAGGATCCATGTCTTATTTTTAAAAAGCTCACGAAACTTTTATGAAGGCTTATTACCTGAAATCTTAAATGATTCTAATTATTAATAGTTATTATTTACTGGTATCACTGCTATCTACCCTTCTGCTGATCACCTGCAAGTACTGTACTTGGTGTTTTATAAATGCTATCTCATTTATTCCTTTCAACAACTTAAGAGGTAGGTGTATATTATATTCTCTTTCCATTGATTAAAAAAGCTGAAGTTCAGAGGATAAGCAACTTGCCAGAGCTAATTTATAAAGTAAGTGACAGGGCCAGGCACAGTACCTCATGCCTGTAATCCCAGCCCTTAGGGAGCCCAAGGCGGGAGGATCACTTGAGGTCAGGAGTTTGAGATCGGCCTGACCGACATGGTGAAAACCTGCCTCTTCTAAAAATACAAAAATGAGCCAGGTGTGCTGGTGGGTGCCTGTTAACCCAGGTACTCAGGAGGCTGAGGAAGGAGAATTGCTTGAACCTGGGAGGCAGAGGTTGCAGTAAGCCAGGATCCCGCCACTGCACTCCAGCATCCTGGACAAGAGTGAAAAAGAAAATGAAAAACAAAGTAAGTGGCAGGGTGAAAATTTGAATTTAAGCCTGTCTGATTGCAGAGCTATTCTGTGTTAAACATTCAAGTGAAAGCAAGAAGTGTGGGACCCTGAATGTTTTATCTGCAGCTGAGGTTCTAATTAAGTGATTCCTGTTTCTCTCGGCACTGGCCCCACCTTTAGGATTACATCTGTGAGACCAGAATGATGGGAAACGGGTTTTCCCCCTAAGGAAGGTTAAGGCTATTCCCACTGCTTCTCATTCCAGACCCATCTCCACCCTTAAGAGCTGAGCAGGGCAGGTGAGAGTGAAATGAGGAGAAATCATTAACCACTAAACAACAGAAATGAATAGTGACTCTACAATTGCTAATGGAGCCCAGCTCAATGCCAGCAACCAAGCCATTTTCTAGAAATTCAAGCAGTTTTTAAAACATCAGAGCATTAGAAAAGTTGGCAATTCAAGAAAGAGGAGACCAGACTCCGCACTCAAAACAAGAGAGAGTGTGTGGGGCTTTTTTTTTGGAGGTAGAGTTTCACCCTTGTTGCCCAAGCTGGAGTGCAATGGCATGATCTCAGCTCACAGAAACCTCCGCCTCCTGGGTTCAAGCAACTCTCCTGCCTCAGCCTCCCAAGCAGCTGGGATTACAGGCATGCAACACCACCACACCCAGTTAATTTCTGTATTTTTAGTAGAGATGGGGTTTCGCCATATTGGCCAGGCTGGTATTGAACTCCTGACCTCACGTTATTCGCCTGCCTTGCCTTCCCAAAGTGCTAAAATTATAGGCATGAGCCATCACACCTGGCTGACTTTGATTTTAACAGAAGGAAACTTTATTGAAATGTTTTTCTGTCCTGTATAAAACTCTTGAATTTGAAAAATCATCTCTTCCTTGCATGCTAAAAATACAGTGTACTAAATAAGATAGAAGAAATTTCATAGCCCATATAGTATGAGAGCATTTATAGAATATAACACTGTCGAATTTCCACAAAGTTGCCTAGGCATGGTGGCTCACATCTGTAAACCCAGTACTTTGGGGGGCAGAGGATTGTTTGAGCCCAGGAGTTTGAGACCAGCCTGGGCAACACAGAGAGACCCCATTCTCTATAAAAATAGCTGAGGGTGGTGGTGTGCACCTGTAGTCTCAGCTACTTGGGAGGCTAAGGTGGGAGGACTGCCTGAGCCCAAGATGTGAGGCTGCAGTAAGCTGTTCATCATGTCACCGCACTCCAGCCTGGGCAACAGAGTGAAACTCTGTCAAAAAAAAAAAAAAAAAAAAAAAAAAAAAAGAAGAAACTTTCTAAAACGTATATAAAATCCCAAGACTAAATTTTGGCAAATAAATGAGTCCTCGGAAAACCCAAGGCAATAATTTGCAAGTTGTTAAGATTAAGTAAGTACAAATGTAGAAATCTTTATTCTACTTACTTCTTAAATATAAATGGGATGAAAAATGATCAAACTGATCAGGTACAGACGATTGTGACGATGGGTTAAAAAGATTTTCCTTGCTCTTCAGAAAGAAATCTACTGTGTCCAGCTGACGATTTTCTATCCCAGCCTGAAATGAGAAAAATAAAAATAAAAAATTAACAACAGGAAACAAAATCAGGATTCAGATTAAAAAAACTTTAGAATTTAATGTGGTGAGACAGGAGGCAAAAGGCTACATGAATACCTGGACTCCAGTCATTTTGACTGGGACCCTCCCCACTCCTCCTCTCCCCTCCTGCCTCAGCTTCCCAAAGTGCTGGGATTACAAGTGCGAGCCACTGTGCCTGGCCCAATTTCTGCTCCAGAAGAAACAGGTGGTTATTAGAATACAAAACCTTTCAGCTCTACCATTTTAGAATTCTAAAATGATTCAAAGCTCTTAGGGATTACTCTTACAATTAAGTTATATTCTATTTGAATTAAAATGTTATGGCAGTATAATATAAAGTCATACTCTGTCACTTAGGCTGAGGTACAGTGGCATGATCTCAACTCACTGCAACCTCTGCCTCCCCAACTCCAATGATTCTCGTGCCTCAGCCTCCCAAGCAGCTAAAACTACAGGCACACAGCACCACACCCAGCTAATTTTTTTTCCCCCCCCTCAAGGAGAGGTGCCCAGCGAGATTCTTAGTTGTCTTTTTTTTTTTTTTTTGGAGACAGAGTCAGGCTCTGTCGCCCAGGCTGGAGTGCAGTGGCGTGATCTCAGCTCACTGCAACCTCTGCTTCCTGGGGTCAAGCAATCCTCCCACCTCACAGTCCCAGGTAGCTGGGATTACAAGCCTGAGCCACCACACTCGGCTAATTTTTGTATTTTTAGTAGAAACAGGGTTTCACCATGTTGGCCACGCTGGTTTTGAACTCCTAACCTCAGTGACCTGCCTGCCTAGGTCTCCCAAGGTGCTGGGATTACAGGTGTGAGCCACTGCGCCGGCTGCATTCCATATTTTTAATAAACAAAAATAAAATAAACTTTTAAAAGTTAAAAAAAAATAGTATGATGGCCAGGCATGGTGACTTACGCCTGTAATCCCAGCACTTTGGGAGGCTGAGGAGCGTGGATCACCTGAGGTCAAGTGTTTGAGAACAGCCTGGCCAACATGGTGAAACTGTCTCTACTAAAAACACAAAAATTAGCCGGGTGTGGTGGTAGGCACCTGTAATCTCATCTACTCAGGAGGCTGAGACAGGAGAATCACTTGAACCTGGGAGGTGGAGGTTGTAGCAGGCCAAGATCACACCACTGCACTCTGCATGGGCAGCACAGCAAGATACTGTCCACACCCCCACCAAAAAAAAAAACCCAAACCCAAACCCAAACCAAACAAAGAGTATGTGACCTAAGAAGCCTAAAATATTTACTGCATGATCATTTACAAAGTTGGTGGGGCGCAGTGGCTCATGCCTGTAATCCCAGCACTTTGGGAGACTGAGGTGAAAGCACTGCTTGAGCCCAGGAGTTCAAGACAAGCCTGGGTAACACAGTGAGACCATGTTTCTACAAAAAAAATTTAAAAATTAGCTG